AGGTGCAAAAGACATTTTCAGGTGTTCGGAAGCACTGCCATCCAGCTTTACCCATCGGGAGCTGCTGCCTGGTCTCGCTGACATTGGAAACCAAAAAGATGTTAAACATGGGTTTCAGGAATTGACAAAAATCTCTGTGTAAATATATGATGAATAAGCAGGCTGCTACCCGGTAGCTGTAAAGGAAATGAGAGACAGTCTGACAATTCTCAGATTAGTTTGACACGTTTTTGACACTTCTAAGCGTATAGTGGGATGTGAAGAGTAAACTTAGAATCGTTTTTCTGCAAAAGCAGATTTAGAGTGGTATAGTGAAAGACGGAAGGCAGTGTTACCTCAAAGAGCTTTCTTCATGAGTGTAATTCAGCTCCGAGTTGAGCTAGAAGCACTCGTTTGGTGTTTGTAACACTTGAACCAATTCACATTAAAAACCCAGTGTTGCGAGGTCTGGTTAGGAAGAAAAGGGGAAAATGGCCTGAGACTATAAACCCAGCGGCTGAGCTAGAGTAACGTCATGGGGAGATGTCACTTCTTCTAAAGGGAGGATTTTTGTGGTTGGCTTTTCTAGGTGGCTCAACGAAGCAGAGCCGTATCAGTTTCATTCTGAACCCGCTCGCCAGCCAGAGGAACCATGGATGGACTTTAATACCAGAGTAAATCTCCAATATCCTGGATTTAGGCTGTTGTAACTCAGAGCAGAATTTGATCTCCCTACACACAGGATCAGCAGATACAGGATTTTCCCAACTAAATGCTTTAAAATATGATGCAAGGAAAGATTGTGATAGGGGTGGGTTATGTCTCCATAACCTGAATTAGATTATAATTGCATATCCCAGTTGATGAGGTACTGAGGTCAATGAAAGCTTGTACTGAATCAATTAATTTGTGACAGCTGAAATTTTCCCCAGATCAGCCTTTGGATTTCATTCAAAACTTTCTTTAAAGAAAAAACAGTGTGTTAATTTGCTGCGTGCTTTGTTTGAACCATTCTAGAAGCCTGGAACCAAGTCTTGGATTTTTTTATTTGCCTAAAACTCCAGCTGACTTCAGTGGGAGGGTTACCCAAGAAGGGAGTTCAAGCGTCAACCTTTTATGTGGTTAAATAGATAATTGATATGGGTGCGGTTATACCACTTGTTTTTAATATAAATAGCAGTTTGCTTGGTAGGCAGAGAGAGGTGGGTGGTGTAGTAATGGCATTTAGAACTGTTTTAATAAATATTTAGCTTGGGATTAGTTTGAGTGTTAATTGCTATTAGCATATGCAGTTCATTATTATCAGGTGTGTATTACTGGGGAGGTGAAAGAGATGCTGGCCATCACACAGAGCTGACCATGGTGGCTGCTGCAGATACGGAGGCTCCATCTTCCTGGCTAGCTTGGGATTGCGTCCATCCCTAGTTATTGCAATAATGTTTTCTCACTCACTGAATCATGCCTGAGGTTCAGCCTTTAAAGTCCAAGTCAACGATCAATATCTTGTGAAACAGGAAGCGAAGTGATTCTCAGCCTTGTGGTGATAATCATATGCATTTAAAGGGTAGTGGCTAAATTTGTGGAATTAAAATGGAAGCCTAATGATGGGCTGTTCCTATTAAGCAGAAGTAAAACATAGCTTTAGAAAAGGTTGCCCACAGCTCCATTAATATGTTTCAGACTGGTTGATAAGGATTTTAGTAGCACTTTTTTTCTTGACTGTTAGGCATGGTATGATAGAGTGACTTAAAAGCTATTTGAATGTATGAGACAGTGACAGTATCACTTAAATAAATCATACAGTTTAGCTTGGTTATCTTCCTCATTCTTTTTTTTATGGGTGTACAGGGAAATGCCACTTTTTGGTTCTTCCTTAGAACTAATCTGATTTCTAGTTTATTTTAATGACATCTTAATTTATTTTAATTTTATTCTGTACAAATAGAATGGAAAAGATATAACACAGTAGAAGCACTATCTGAAACGTATATACGATTAATCAGTTGTGTTTGCTTCTTCTAGGGAAAATCCGGAACGTACCTTTGATTTGGTACTGAAAGTAAAATGCCATGCATCTGAAAACGAAGGTAATATACTGTGCCTGTTGATATTTATTTGTAGAAATGAGAGGTGGAAAAAAATTGTTTTCATCCTGATCTAGTGTCATCTTATGTTTTGAATTGTTGTTGGATTGGGATTGTATTAGAAGGTGACTGTGGTTCTTTTATTGCCTTTTAAGATCTGTTAATCTTAATGTGTTAATTCATAGTTGTTGTGGGTTTTAATTATTGTATTTTCATTTTAGCGATTGTAAGAATATTTTTGTTCTGAGAAATACTTGCAAAGCTTGGACTTGAAATGCATCTTCTGCAGTTCTTAAAATGTTGATTTTGTATAAGATTTGATTTTAGCAGAACAATTGACTTCTGTCTATCAGTGGAATGTTAATTTTGATCAGTGTGATAGGGAGAAAGTAAGTTCTTTTATCAACAACAGAAAGAGACTTTCTTTCTAGCTCATGTTGGCAGCTGCTTTGGTTTGATACATGATACAAAGAGCAATGAGTGCTGACTTGAACTCATGTTAGCCATCAGTTTCACGTCTCTATAAACACATGGTAAAAGAGATGTAGTACTGCAAGAGTTATCGGAGAGAGGCTTTTTTCCTCTTGGGTAAAAAGAAGATGGGATTTCCAGTGCTGAAATTAAAGTGACCTCGAGAGAGTCCATTGGGGGAACTCGGTTCGTGTTCTCATCCGAGGTTATTGGCCTTATAAAAACACAGGGAGAGAAGAAGTCTTGTTCGGGTTGTGTTGTAGTCGTGCTAGTCTGCAACAGCTGTGTCTTAATCACAATTGTAAAAACAATAAACTACATCTTAAAATTGAATATGTTTTTTATCCTACTGTGCTAATGGGTGCTGTTTCCAATTTACTGCTCTAACAAGTTAGAAACGTGTAGAAGTTTATAGCCCCAAGCTATTCCTTTTTAAAATTTCAGCCAACATTTCTGTTAATGGTGTCATGGGTACGTGCCTAATATGTTTACAAAAAACATTTTTGTTGAATCTAAACAACTGTAGTTCTTTAGGTCTTCTCCTGACCATCCCAATAGGGTCTTCTGTACCTGTTGTATTATATATTATCCATTATTGATCTGTTGAGTTCCTCTTGCCTTTTTTTTTTTTTTTGCTTCCTTTCTTTTTTTTTTTCCCTCTTCATAAGATTGTTCATTTAGCTGTGGAATGACATTTTGGTCCTGGTGCAGTCCTTGGGTATTTTCACTTTTTTTGTGACCAGCCAGCATCCTTCAGTTTATTGCCTGCTTTTTTTGATTTGCTGTCAGTACCATCATGGTTTGGGGAATCAGATGGGCTTTCCTAACTCTCTCATCATTGTTGTGGTTTGTATTGTGGCACATTTTACCTTCTGTTCTCTTCCTTTTGCAGTTTTTGCCTTAGTAATTTCATAGATGATGTCTGTGAACCCTGCTTAGCTACTTGACTTCTGATCTTTTCCTCCTTGCATTGTGGATTTAGTCTCCATCCCCACCTGGCATCCCTTCCTGGGGGCCTGTTCACATCTCAGTTTAGGCCTGGTTTCAACCTGCAGATTTTATTCTCTTTCTTCCTTTCCCTGCTGAGAGCTAGACTGTTGATAATCCTTTCAAGTCTTCATCTTGAAATCTTGAAAAATGTGGGTTTTTTTTCTTCTGTGATCAGAACATGGATCTATGTCCTTTTAATTCCTCTTATCTCCCTTTTGACTTCTGATTTTTGTTTTGCATCTTTCTGCCTCTGCTGCCATAAGAAACCACTTCTCATTCCCTGCAGCTCTGTGAATGATCGTCTCTGCCTGAGTTCTGGTTGTAGTCACTTCCCCTGCCTCCCTCCATGGGCGTTTTGTGCGGTCCATCGATTGTCCTCTGTGGAGAGTAGTGTGTTTAAGAAATCTCTGTATCTCCTTGAACTGTGACCTGAGTTAATGTGGACACTGTACTTGTGACTGTATTATGGGTGCACCTTCTTCTATTCCACTTTCTGCTATCATCCCTTCTACCCTGCGTGGGCTCAGTTGCTGTTCATCCATGGGGTGGCCAAGGGCAGAAACGATGTCTGATACCGGTAGCGTTGGAGGCTGCGGCGTGTGACTGGTGAGGGGTGTAGGGGTGTTTCGACTGGCCTGGAGGTTGTATTGATTGTTGCATGAGTCTGCAGATCAGCACAAAAGTACAGTCCCCTTTTACCACTGAAATTTGCTGGCTGAATATTCCAGTCACCATCCTGCTGTACTTGGTGACCCATCTGGGATTAATTTTAATTTCTTTCATATTATATATAATTCAGATAACAAACTCACTCTGGTGAGGGCTTGACATTGGATTTACATATGGTATTATGAGCACAGTGATGTATCAAATTAATATATCTGAATGTTAAAGTTATTTAAAGGAAATTCACAAGGGACAAAAGTGTATTGTCTTCACCGCCACTTTAGAAAGAAGCACAAGGCTTGTCATGCTAAACAGGGAGCTTTCAAGGTTGGTTTATTATAAGGCCTAACAAATTTGACAGTTACCCTGTATTGTAGGTCTTGCCTTTAAATAGATTTTCATGCTAGGATAATCTTTTGAATATATCATACTTGAAAACGTGATCCATTCACCTGTTTCTTTGCTCATGCCTCTTTCTTTCTTATGAAAGAGATTTGTGTTTAAATAGGGGCTTTCTCCCTCGCATCCCATCTGCTCCTTGTACTTGATCCTGAAGCTATGTCAGGGCTGAATTTGTGACATCACTGTCACCAGTGTTGCCGTGGAAATATCACAGCCACAAAATTATGATCTCCCTGCATGACTGAGCAGCAGCAGAAGCCGACTTAAGAGAGAGGAAGACCTTAATGTGACCCATGTATCTTTAAGCTTTTTCTTTTCAAGCTTTGCTGTAGTCTGCTTTCTCCTGCATTTTAATTTCCCTGTGCCAGCATGTAACTGTTCTAACAAATAAAAATTGAGGTAGTCCTGCTGCATGTGTAGCTGTTAATAAGATGATGTTTTTATGAGGATGCTATATGCCTGCAACAGTGTGACATGATGAAAAATTTTGCTGTTAAAGTTGTTAATGCTTTTGGATAAGTATTTTTAGATAACTTCTCAAGTACAGCATAGCTCTCAAGGAATTTAATTTTTCGGATCTGACAGTGTTCTAGGGCTCTTCCAGCTATGAAGGATCATACATACATAAAATGCAGCAAGGTTTATATGTATTATGAAATTTGTTCTTAAATAGTTCTACTAATTATTTCCAACATTGTTTTCTACTGAGTATACGCATCTAAGAGGTTTCATGTAGGTTAATATAAATTTATCATTTCATGTATGGTGGGTAGCTCCTGAATTCGTTACAGGCTCAATTGTGCTAGCATGTCTTTAGTCATAGCTGGATCAAAATTTTCTTTTCCCATTGGATACCTGTTGTTTTGTAATTTAAGAGTAGCTTGCATACTTGAGTATTTATTTCTTAATACTGTGTTCTTGACTGAGTAGATCATCCTTTTGGGCTGCTCTCTCTCTTTCTCTGTTGTAAACCACAGGAGTGCACAATAGCGTTGCTAGAATGGTGATCTAACCCTTTTCTCATTTTGGGGGCAGGAAAGAAAAAAGGGTACTCTTTACGTAAGTATTCTTATAATTGAGCACTCCATTGAACTAATGCCCTTAATTGTAACTTCTTTGCTGTTGCTGACAAGCATTATTTGTCCTTCGCTCAGGTTATGTTAAAAAAAAATCTTCAGTTTATTAGAGGGGCTTAATGTGTACTCTTAGCACAAACCAGGATATGGTTCACTCAACAATTTAGAATCTATTTTCAGAGTAAATGATCCTTTCGATATTATATGACATCTAAGACTTTATCGTGAAAGTAGCTTTTTCAGCTGTGTTTAATGAGACAGTTGAGGCACATATTCCAAAGAGGAGATAAAAACCTTTAGGACCGAAATGAGATTGTAGCCCGTGTCGTAACTGCCAGTCCTTTGCAGCATGGTTGAGATGGTAAGCATCAATTCACATGATATGTTGAAACATGGTAATTAGTTAGCATGACAACTTTTTCTTGGGAAAATTCATAACCCGATTCTTGCAAAACTTTGAGATAAAGTAATTTCTGTTCAGCAGATTTTGCTAAGCAACTGGCAGAAGAGTGCTAAGCTATTCTAACAGCCCAATATTTGTTAATTGTGAATTTGGCTTGCAGTGTCGGTAGCACCTTATAGCAAAAGGTTTTACATTGCCTCCGAGGCAGTTGCAGATTTTCATAATTCTTTCTTGTGTCACTCCTTAATGAATAAGTAAACGGAAGAAATAGTAAAGGTGTGTGCCCATTTTAACATCATCAGCTGGCCTTCTGTATTAAATTTTTACTTACAGACCCAGAGGACAACTTGATAACGGATATTTTTGAAACTTTGTGTCATTTTAAGTACAAGCATTGCTTTCTAGCTTCAGGGTAAAAAGATGCAAGTTTTTTTGTGCTTCAGGCTGAATCACCCTTTCTAGGTGTCAGGAGTAGTGCAGTGTTACAGTTGTCCGGAGTGCATAATCTTACATGAGGCTGTTGGTTCAAGATTGTACCACAGCTGCACCTACAGAAACTTTACTCTTCTCCTGGCACCCACTTGTCTTGTGAAAATTATAGTGCACCTGGCACTTTAAGACATGCTTGAACCTAGAGATTGGCTAACCAAAGCAGTCTGCAGCTTTTTTTTTTTTGCTTTTTTTTTCTGTCCAAGTCCTTCCATCATGAAAAGTAAACTGAATTTCTGTAAAGTTGATGTTTCTGAACTCTTCCACAGGACATGTCCAAAATAATAGTGCCAGTGTAATCTTTGTGAAGAGTGTATATTTATCTATGTATCTGTGCATACACAAACATATACAGTGTGTGCATAGACAGGTATATGTCTGAACTTTAGACTTTGGTTAAATGTGCAAAGATAAAGTTGGTAATTTAACTCATTCTATAAACTGTACGTCCTATATTGATTTTATTAAAACAGGATTGCAGAGGCCAGACACAAAAGGCAATGCAA